GGGTGGCCCACTTTACCTGAAATGAATCACCCATTTTATCTAATACATATGGGTAAAGTGGGCTGGTAATTAAAAATGTTTTTCATACAAATTTGCTTAATTTAGAAAATGATCTGCATTTTTCTGGCAGAGGACAGCACAACATGGATTATGAATCAAAATGTCCATTTGGTTCATATTCACCTTATTATTGAAGAGTAAGTTTTAATACGTCAGGTCACTCACCATGGAGTTTTCTGTGGCAAAATGAGCCATCATCCTAGCAATCTCAGACGAATCACATCAAATGCTAAATGTTAACTACTGTTTACTTTTAAAGACAGCTTTTAAAGAGCTAAGACAGTCAAACCTTAAATGGCCCATTTTACCTGGGTTGATGTGATTATTACATGCCTTTCTTTTTCAATGAAAGTGTTTTGGTTCTGTTCAAATAAAATAAATTGCTTCTTAACAACACTTAAACTAATTAAGCTCTTTAGAAAACAATAATTTTCATAGTGGTAGTGGCAGCCTATCAGATCACCATTAAACTGAGGACTGTTAGCTTAGCAAAAAGACTGGTCTAAAAGAGCAAAGCAGCTGAACAAATATATTGCCAAATCCTTATTTGTAACTGTCTCTTTGAAATGAACAAGAACACTATGTTAAACATTCTGTGTATTAAAATAAATCTATTAGTCATTTCAGAGTTTCCTCTGTTTTCCACAGAGTCATCGTCACATGTATGTAATGCTACAAAATGCTAAGATGACCCCCTCAGAGAAGCCTACTAAACCATGTACTCCAGGGTCCGCCATGACTCATGCTGGACACAGTTCCCATTAAGCAGTGTGTCAGCTGTCTGGGAGTGGGTCAGTGTGGACTTCGAGGTGGGACAAGGGGAAGCATGGATATTACATTTCAAGTTCCAGAATAAAGCCCATTGCTCTACACCGAGCACACAGTCTATAAATAAACCTCCAGTTGGAGTTCAGTTGAAGGGTCAGGACAGCTGAGGAAGTGGGCTGTCTCTGGTGTGCCTGAATACTCTTTTAAATCCTCTTTCCAGGCTAGAAACTAGAACAGCTTAGTTATAGAGGAGATACATTTTGTTTGATTTCTTTAGCCCCTGAAAGGCTCTTCATACTCCTTCTGCCAGGAACGATGGCTCTGCCTATAAACCCAGCGGACGAGCCCAGATTGTACCAGCAGACTCTACTCCAGGATGGCCTCTATGACCTGCTGGAGAATGATAAGCTGGTCGACTGTGTGCTGAAGATCAAAGACAAAGAGTTTCCCTGCCACCGGCTCGTTCTGTGCGCCTGCAGCTCATACTTCCGCTCCATCTTTCTTTCTGACCTGGACGAGAGCAAAAAGAGGGAAATTATCCTGGAGGATGTGGAGCCAGGAGTCATGGGGCTCATCGTGAAGTATCTGTACACCTCCAAGATCAATGTGACCGAGCAGAATGTCCAGGATATCTTTGCTGTCGCTAATATGTACCAGATCCCTTCAATTTTCACTGTATGTGTGTCTTTCTTACAAAAGCGTCTAAGCCTCAGCAACTGTCTGGCTATCTTCAGGCTCGGCTTAATGCTGGATTGTCCCAGATTGGCCATCTCTGCTCGAAACTATGCCTGCGAGCGCTTTCAGCTCATCTCCAGAGATGAAGAATTCCTCCAGCTGCTTCCCAGTGAGCTGGCAGCCATTTTATCAAATGACAATCTAAGCGTAGAGACAGAAGAGCAGGTATTTGAAGCTTTGATGAACTGGGTGTCCCGGAACAAAGAGACCAGAGAGAAAGAGCTGCCGAATTTGTTGGACTGCGTTCGTTTGCGTCTTGTCAATGAGGACTATCTAAGAGAAAAAGTGGAGAAACACAAACTTATCTCCTCTAACCCCGAGTTGCAGCAGAAACTCCAGCTGGTTAAGGATGCCCACGCTGGGAAAATGCCAGAAATTAAAAAAAGAAAAAGCAAGGAGGAGGAGGATGGTGGAGCAGGGAATGATGGAGAGAGTGAAGATAAAGATGATGAAGAGGGCCTTCTCCCAAGCATCCTGAATGATAATCTTCGATTTGGGATGTTTGTCAGAGACTTGATCCTGATGGTTAATGATGCTGGCGCTGTGGCCTACGACCCAACGGGGAACGACTGCTTTCTGGCATCACTTTCCACACAGATTCCCAAAAACCACGCCAGCCTGGTGACCAAGGAGAACCAGATCTTTGTGGCCGGAGGATTATTCTTTGATGAACAGAACAAGGATGATCCACTGTGCTCATACTTCCTGCAGGTAGGAGAACGTCAAGACAAAGTTTGTAGAAAGAAAAGAGAAGATGAAAAACTTCCAATTACATGCAGTACACATACGAATATAGTTCAGTGCAAATATATTTCTACACTGTAGTTCTGTACACTGTAAACATTTACAAATGTTTGACTCCTGTGACCACAGTACGACCCGGTCAGTGCCGACTGGATCGGCATGCCTCCCCTTCCTTCTCCCCGTTTTCTGTTTGGAATGGGCGAGGCCGAGAACTCCATCTTTGTTTTGGGAGGAAAGGAGCTGAAGGAGCAGGAGCACATGCTGGATTCAGTCTTGGTATACGACAGACAGTGAGTACAGCCTTGAGTTCATGTATGAAATTTTAGGGGAAAAGCACTCAGTTTGTCATCCTTAATAATTAACTACCTAATGTGTTTTGTCAATCACAGATCCTTTAAATGGGGCGAGTCAGAGCCGATTCCATACCCAGTTTACGGCCATACAACATTATCTCATAATGACACTGTATACGTGATTGGAGGAAAGGGAGACAACAAGTGAGCACATGCTTCAAGCAAAATATTAATGTTCATATTAAAAGTGTGACCCTAAAAGGCTTCAGGATTTAAAGAAGGAGGGTTTTCTTTATCTCAGAGGTCACTATTGTGAGTCTTTGTCCCTTTTGTAAAAAGGAGCTGTCTAAAGAAGATGTGTGCCTACGACGCCAAGCGTTTTGAATGGAAGGAGCTCGCGCCCATGAAGCACGCACGCTCCTTATGTGGAGCCACCGTTCATGAAAACAAAATATACGTGGCAGGAGGCGTCACTGACAACGGCCTGACAGACACTATGGAGGTGTATGATATCGCTACCAACAAGTGAGTTTCCTATATTTATATTTCTTTTCTTCTACTTTATTTTTTAGTTTAGTTTGTTTCTAATTATCTGTTGTAAAGCACACAGTCAGTGTAAAGTTACAACACATCATAATAAATGTAATAAAACTGTCTAAATGGTTTATCTAACTGAACATCTTTCTGTGTGTGTGTTAACGCGGTGCAGGTGGTCAGACTTTGTGCCGTTTCCTCAGGAACGTAGCTCCCTGAATCTCGTGTCGTTGGCTGGTTCCCTCTACGCTGTTGGAGGTTTTGCCATGATGCCTTTAGAGGACAGCGAAGAGGTTCTTCCTAAAGAGATGAACGACATCTGGAGGTAGATCGTAACAGACTTTTAAAAAAAAAAACTGTTAAATTATCTTTGCACAACTGTAATCTTAATTATATTTAGTATTTACTCAATTGTGTTAGTATTTAAAATGTTACTCAGTGAACCCAACATAAGATGCCACCGTCCTGCTTCAGTTCATAGTGGATATATAATTACTTAAGTTTAAACGCAAATGAGGGAGATAGGAGCCCTGGGAAAAACCATGACGACTGTCTCTTAACCTCCTCAGGTATAATGAGATGGAGAAGAAGTGGAATGGGATCCTCAGAGAGATCAAGTACGCCTCAGGGGCTTCAGTTTTGGGGGTGCGACTGAATACCTTGCGTCTCACCAAGATGTAAAACCCCCTCCAGTCCCCGTTTATGAACATGAACCTGTTTAGAGTCCAAAGAACGGTTCAGGGCCACAGACATCAATATTCAGCTCAATGTGTTCATTGTTCTCTATTGTTGTTATCCGTTTTATTTTACGCATTTGATTTTTTGTTGTAGCTTTTCTAATTATAACAAATTAATACTGTGGATTTGTTTTTTTGTTTCTTTTTGATCTATAATAATTTATATATGTCTTTCTACAAGTTTAAATCTGATTCAGACTAAAACTACAGAGTCAGTAACCTAAAGACACCTGTTGCACTGTGTCGAATAAATCAAAATATTAAAGTGTCTAAATCTGACTGGAAAATATAAGCATTTCCCAACAGAAGGCAACAAAAGTGCCAAAAAAAAAAGCACTACTGTAATATAAAAAACAAAACACAAAGACACATCTGAATTTGCAATAATATATCTATACTGTTTAATATTGAAATGATTTCATTACGCTCTGTTGTGTTACAGACAGTAAACACTAGTCAATAATACAATAAAAGACAGAAAATACAGTCTAATGTTATTAGCACCTCTAGACACTACTGTCCTTGTACTGTTTTTAGTATTTTATCATAGCTGAACGTGACGACTACTGCCTACACATGGGCTTTGTACACCAGAGTTAACTAAGTTGTAGTGTTAACATTATAGAGAGTCAGCAAATAACAGTACACATTATGGTTTCTTTAACACCGCTGCAGTATGAGTAAGGGAAATGCAATGTGATGCGAATGTGAATAATACAGCTTTGAATAGACTATGGCATTGATGCTTATGGTTACCATCACATGTAGCTTCACTCAAAAACAGGGGGAAGCCACCATAAAACATATATTAAAAAAAACAACAACTAAACTTTCTCATGCAAAAATTACACTTGTTTCCCACTTTTAGTTCATATGGAGCCCTCAAACTGCCAAAAGGTAGCAAAAGATTCATTTTAACTTGAATTGAGGAATATT